TCCCGCAGACGCCGCTCGAGAGGCAATCAGTCGGCCGCGGGTTTGGGAGGCTCCTCCTCGCGCGCACTTACGCACGCTCTCCATATATTCTTATATATGTATATTTATATATATATATATATATATATATATATATATATATATATATATATATGTGTGTGTGTGTGTGTGTGTGTGTGTGTGTGTGTGTGTGTGTGTGTGTGTGTGTGTATATATGTTTTTATATATATGTAGATACAGAAAGAGAGAGAGAGATTACTTATGTAAAAGTGCATGCGCGCGCGTGCGTGTGTATGTGTGTATGTGTGTGTGTGTGTGTGTGTGTGTGTGTGTGTGTGTGTGTGTGTGTGTGTGTGTGTGTGTGTATGTGTGTGCGTGTGCGTGTGTGAGGAAAGACAGACAACCAAGCCGAGAGGAGAACTCCAGGGCATCCACCGAAGGAATATTCCCTCCTTCCCCTCCGCCGATCACCCGATGCAAACCGAGGGAAATGACTCCACACTTGGCGAGAGAGAAATATTCAAAAGAAAAACAACACACATGAGCTGCATGTAAAACTCCCTCTGGTCGAAACGCGTTGATATGGTAAGTATATGCGACAGTATCATTTTTTCTTTTTTATGTCATGCGTATGTATTCATTCCAACCAAAAATGATTATGCATAAAATATTCAGTCAATCATTATCTATATACTGGACATGCACCTCCCCTGCCCCCCTTCCCCATCCCCCGCCTCCATTAAGCCAAAATAATGTTAGTATCAGATTCATCCATCACTGCTGGTTGTGAATCGACCTTATAAACAGATGAAAACAGTAAATGGCTATAAAACATTCGAATTTATAAGCAGGTGTATTACTACGCCCCGCACATGCAAATAAATATTGTACTGACGATGAAAGAAAAAAAATATCTCGGGCTTTTATGCGGACAATTAAACGTCCACATTCCTGTGTGCGGGTAACGTTATGCGTGAGTGTGCGTGGGAGAGAGGGGGGAGGGGGGAGGGGGGAGAGAGAGTGAAACAGACAGACAGATGGACAGACGAACAAACCGACAGACAGACAGAGACGCATACACAGACAGAGAGATCGAGAAAGAGGAAAAAAGAGAGAGAAGCAAACCGACAGATAGAGAAAGGAGTGTATGAACGACACGGGGACCCAAATAGACCTCATTTTCACCAAGAAAATAGTAATAATGACCCACACTTCCCTGCAAAAAACAACACACAGCAACAACATAAAAAGCAACACCGGTGAGAGCTCCCTCATGACGCAAGGGAGGACGAGGGAGCGAAAACGCCTCATGGCTTACCTGGCATTATGAGGTCCCACGATGATGTCATGAGATGAAGACGCCGAGATGGCTTCGTTGGGGATGTCGCTGGACTCCATCCCGAGGGGGCGGTCGCAGTCCTCTGCAGGGGGTGGGGAGGGAGGGAGGGGAGGGGGAAGAGGATATCTTTTTAGTAAACCGTATTTACCAGACTATATATATATATATATAATAATCATGATAATCATTACTCATAATTGTATATTTTTTTTATAATTATAATAATTATTATGTATTTTTTCTGTCAAGGTTAACGATATCTAGTGAAAATGTGAAGATGTTTAACTGAGATCAACAGAAGCATTAACAGCCCCTTTCCCCCGCGTCCTACGAGACTGAATCGCAGGACGCGGAAAAGACTCCCGTAGGAGGCTCTAGCCACTCACCTGTCCAGAGTCCGGCGACGCCCTTGTGGCCCAGGAGGAGCAGGAGGCCGAGGGCGACGCAGGGGGCGCGGAGAGGGCGAGGAGGAGCCGCGAAGAAGGAGAGGAGCACGAGCAGGAATCCCGTCACCGGCGGCCATGCTTGACCCTTCTGAGCCATGGTCCCCTCTCAGGCAGCGGCCCTCTCTCTCTCGCTTCTTTCTCTCCCCTTCTCTTGCCGTCTTCCTTTCTCGTATTTTATTTTGGGGTCTTCGCACTCGCCTTTCTCTCTCTCCCTCTCTCTCTCTCTCTCTCTCTCCTCCAGTCCTTTATTCGATTTTCTCTCTTCTTCTCTCTCGTTATCGGGATGATTCGCCGAGGCTTTTTATCTCTCCTTTCCTTTCTCTTCTTTCCCTCTCTCTCTCTCTCTCTCTCTCTCTCTCTCTCCTCAGCCCACTAGTAGTCAGACATGTCCCCACCGAGGACGTGAATGGGCGTGAATCCTGCAGACAGAAGGGGCGGCGCCAGGGGAGGGCATGGTCGGGCGTGATCGCAGCTCCTCCTCAATGCCATCCTCCTCCTTGGGATTCTCGAAGCTTCCACGTCTCAAGGGAGAGCCTCTCTTGCCCCGGTCATCTTAGGCAATTCTCCTTATTTCACTGATTTTCCCTGTATCAAGTATTGTTTCTCTCTCTCTCTCTTTTCTTTCTTCTTTTTTTAGGTTTTGTTTTGTCTCTCACGTTTTCTTATCTCACGTATCGTTTCTTTAAGACTTTTGATTCGGGTTTATTCATTTGGT